AGGCAAAGCTCCGGTGAATAAAATCCGAGAAGTTTCTCAGGCTGGGGGTCATGCAAACACTTCCGTTAAACCAAAGGTCACTCAAAGGTGTCACGTCGCCTCTAAACAAACCAGGGTACCTCGTTGTACATGTTCATGCGTCCGATGGTTCGTGTTGAAACCCAGGAGCCCGTTAATACCTCACGCTCGCAAGGTGTGGTTCTAAACGTGTGACTCCTGATGTGACCTTGGATCATTCAAAGGTGACAACAAATCGTCCTGAGAATGTCAACAAGGTTCTTCTTCCCTAAAAGAAGACGTGTCCTTCAAAAGACAACGTTATACTTGGGGTATCACACCAACAAACGATGGATTGCTCCAATGAGCTACACTATCAGGCTGGAGGTGTGAATAAATCCCAAAAGGATAATGTTCGAGAAACTAACTCTCACTGTCCATGTGAGAGGCTTATCAGGGTGGTATTATCGAAATGCAGTTGTCCCAGGACCATTTCACAAAGGGTCTCCATATTCAAGAAGCTTGCTACCGAGGCATTGAAGCCTAAGCCAAGACGTTTCCACGAGAAAAAAATCCACTGTTCAGGATGATGAATTCCCTAAAGTCACCATTAATATGGTTGACAAAGGAAAGTCTATCATTACTTCAAACGGTTCTAATCCCGATTTTTCTCCCGGAAGAAAAGTCAATTCAGGGATAGCCCAACGAATGTCTCGGTTCCAGCTAGGAGCCATCGTACATAGGGGTTACCCAAGGATACACGAAGAACTATCTTTAGAAGACGAACTGTCGGATACTTACTCTGCAATTGCCTCCAATGACACAATGTCCAGCATGTGGGAAGCAAGGGAATCGTTCATGATCACTCCTGACCTAGTGGCCCAAATGCTTCAAGAAGCACTGGCTAAACAACGAGAGGAATTCAGGGCTAAAATGAACACTGAGATAGAGTTGACCATGCAGCAGATGAGAGAGTTACAAGCTCAACAACTTCAACCACTACATGAGTCCAGTCAGCGGGCTAAATTCAGCCACCGTACTCAGAACGTCTAGTTGGTAGCAATCCAGAAGTGGGCGAAGCACCCCTCGAAAATACTAGGGGTGGTCCAATCGCATCCCTAAATAACATTAGAGGTGGTCCAAATGCACTCACTAAAAATAAAAATACTGGGGGTAGCCCCATCACTAATGATAACGCTAGGAGTGGTCTCATCGTTCCTCCTCAAAATGACCCAAAGAAAGATACAGACGATAACGAGATGATGAAAGAGCTGGAGAATAAGGTTAATGCCTTAATGTCCATTCAAGAAGTAAAGAGAACGGGCATTCCATGCCCACATCCAAGAGAGTGGAATTCAATCCCATACCCGGCAAAGTACAATCTAATTAACTTTACGCCATTTGACGGGAGAGAATCACCCACTCAACATTTGATTTACTTCAGGTCTCACTTGGGAGTGATCTTTGGGAATGAACACCTAATGATTCGGTCATTCGTGGGTACCCTTCACGGGGCAGCCTTCGATTGGTATCGACGTCTCAAGCCGGGGAGCATCAATTGTTGGGACGATATGGAAAGCTTGTTCCTTAACAACTTTTTCGACGATGACACCGACGTGTCGATCGAAGCTCTTCTAGATGAGAAGCAAAAAGACGATGAGTCAGTTGATAGTTTTGTCAAACGCTTCCGCAACAAGGCAATGAATTGCAGGGATCCTATCACAGAGGAGTTCATCTTACAGACGTACCATGATAATCTCTCCATCGATGTCCTTGAAGTCATGGGGGTTGTCCCCTCAATCTCCTGGAAGGAATTAAAACTACGTGGAGAACAGGTTGAACGTTTCCTCAAAAGAAAGAAGCTCGAGAGGGGCCAACCGATGACTAAAGTACATGCAACTGCTGACGATATTCATCAACAGACACCTTGGAGACAACAAAGGACTCTTAATCCGAAATTTCAGGAGGAGTATTCTTTCGAAGATGATGAAGTTCCAACCATCTTTAAATACCTCCTTGCCAACAATAAGATCAAGCACCACCGATTACAAATCAAGAGGAAGCAAATAAGATTTCGGATCCTAAGTACTGTGCATACCACAGGAGGGTCCATCACCCCACCAAGACTTGTATTACGCTGAAAAACAACATTCAAACCTTGGTTGACGTCGGCATCATAACACCGAAAGAAGCCGAATGAGAACGGCTTCCTCCGATAGGTATATGAGGTTAAACTGCTCCCATCCTCCGATAGGTCTATGTGGTTAAACTGCTCCCATCCTCCGATGAGTATAAGAGGTTAAACTGCTTCTCTGTGATACTCTAATGGGTATACGAGTCTAAACTATTTCTCTTATTTCTAGCGAGAAGTTCTTGGAGAATATTACACATGATATTCTTAAAGATAACCCGAGATCAAAGGTTCGTTCAAGTCTACGCCCAATATGCGTTGTCGGATAGCCTATTCCCGTAACAATGACGAAGTTTATGTATTCAACATCATAGTACTAAGCCTAAGAGAGTTAACTCTTTTAGCACAACGTTACATACGGAACGGACTTAGACAATCCGCATGCTAGCCCAACTCAAACGGTAGTCGGTAAAGGCTCATCAAACCCGTTGATGACTGAGGGTTTGCCAAAAATCCTATAAGTATGAGAGTCATTGACGTATCAGCTCCATTAGTTGGTCTCGTGACTTGAGGATCCAATAATTTTAGGATAAAATCCATACATGCAGATGAATCAGTTTTAAAAGTTGGTCCTGCACCCCAACACTTGGGACCGCCACGCTCCAACATCTTAAGAGCATAAACTATATAGACACAGGTAGACGCGTTGCGACGAAATTCAATACTGATCAACGCGTTGCGATGGAAGTCAACGCATGATCTCTGATCAACTCCAAAGTTCAGATATAAATTCCTAATAAAGATGATCAATTCAAAGTCAACTCAATAACACGAGCTAACTTCAGAAACTTACATACCAATTTTAGTTCAAGACTTTAACAACGGTCAAACGATAAATGCAACGCCGGAAGAACTTCATCTGTTCGACAAAATACTGAATAGACTGAAGGCTAAAGAAGACAAGAATTGAAGCAATTCACAGGTCCTTTTATGTGATCTCCTTAATGAAATACTAAAGAGATTAAAGATAGTGCTTGTCTTATCCAAAGCATTCCAGACTTTTTTATAAAAGAATGAGTCTTAAACACTTTGGAGGGGGTATCTGTAGGTGTCAAAATTTGCCTATGAGTTCCCGTACGCACTCGAGGCGAAATGCAGACGATAAGTATCATCATCCAAGTCAGGAAAGGATTATCTGGCCTCGTGAAAACCAACGAATATACAAAGTGAGTCATTGGAGTGTACAAGTCAACGGAATGACAAAATGTGCAATACAAGTTCGGAGAAGTCAAAAAGTGTCGAACACCTCAAAGTGACCCGCAAAAAGAAGAGGCATTTAGACCATGCTATGATTTGAATCTAAAATAGTTTAAAACATGAAAGTTGTAGATTTCTTCATCATATTTCTAACACATCTCAGATTACCTCATTTTGAGATCGAACGAGGGAGTTAGAGCCAAAATACCCAAGACCATTCAGGCCATTTTACACCAGCGAGACAATCGAACGAGGGAGTTAGAGCCAAAATACCCAAGACCATTCAGGCCATTTTACACCAGCGAGACACAATCTGTGTCTCGGAGAAAATGGAGATTTTGGCTATGATATGGTTCTAATATGAAGAATCTTAAAATAAAAAAGTTGTAGGTATCTTTGTTAGCTTTTCAAAGCATTTTTAATCACCTCAATCGGAGGTCAGATGAAAGAGTTAAGACTAAAATACCCGAGACAGTCCAAGCTGTCTCGGACATGTGCGAGACAGTCGAAGTGACTCGCGCCCATGTCAGCTCCCGACGTGTTTTCTAATAAGATTGGCTTCTAGAACTCCTTGGGGTCATCCATAAATATGTGGGGTTATCTTTAAACATGTGAAAGTTGTTACACAACCGAAAACCCACATTAACGGATAATAACGGTTGTTCTTTGATCTTATCCACAAACACGACATTCCTATCCACAAACACGGCATCTAAAGCCTATAAATACACCCCTAGCACCCTCTAAAATCAGATCTGAAGGGAGCCATGAATTTTAGAGGAGCTAGGGTGAAGATCTGGAATTTTATCAAGAAGACGAGATGTTGCTGGATTGAGGAGTCAAGGAGCATGAATTTTTAGCAAAGGCCAACGAGATCCTGGCGAACTTCGGCACAAAGGAGAATTCATTCGAAGGATCTAAAGCACATACGTCTGTTCCTTGAGATTAGGCTTGGTCTTAATCTCGAGAAGAGCCCTGATTTCACTTGGTCGATCTTAGCGCTTCAAATCAAATACTTCCTTGGCGAAGGCGAAGCTCTGCCGAATTTTTTATCAACCGGATCTGGTTCGCGGTCGTCCACGGATAAACCCCGACACCGACGAAGAACTCACGTAAGCAAGAGCCGGTAAACGGATCTTGTGTTTATTTTTAAGAAAGTTATAATTTTTATTCTTCGTAAATGACTAAAGTTTAATAAAATCAATGATGAAGGCAGCTTTCACTGAAAACATTTTGCTGAAATCATGTTGCAATTGTAACTATCGTGAACTAGTTCTTTTCATTTTCTGTTATGGTATAAGGGCTATTTAAGAAGCCTGAGTTGTTCAATAAGATAATGAGATTCATTCCAACATTTGTTGAGTTTCTTTCTCTTCAAAACTTTGATTCTTAACATTGTGGTATCAGAGCCTGCAAACGGGCCTGATTGTGAGAAAAGAGTGGTTGAGAGAAACACCTCTGAGAGAGAGTGTCTGAGTGAAACACTTCAAGAGACACAAAAGGTGTTTGAGAGAAATACTCTGAGAGAAAGAGTGAGATCACGATTGCAACTGAAGGACACAACTTGCTGAGCATTCCCAGATTTTATGGGGACTATGATCACTGGAGCATGCTGATGGAGAATCTGCTGAGATCAAAAGAATACTGGAGCGTAATCGAGCATGGTTACACCAAGCCGGCTGCTGGAATCGTGCTGATCAATGCACAGAGCAAAACCTTGGAGGAGCTCAAGCTGAAAGACTTGAAGGCCAAAAATTGTTTTTTCCAGTCAATAGACAAGTCAATCTTGAAGACAATCAGCCACAATAGCACATCCAAGCAGTTATTGGACTCCATGAAGACAAAGTATCAAGGGAATACCAGGGTTAAGAAGGCTCAGCTTCAGGCTCTTCGTAGAGAGTTTGAAATTCTGGAGATGAAGAATGGAGAGTTTGTAACGGACTTTTTCCCAGAGTCATGGTGGTGGCAAATGATATGCACAATTATGGAGAAGACATGCAAGATGTCAAAATTGTGGAGAAGATTCAGCGAACTCTCACCGAGAAGTTCAACTACATTGTATGCTCCATCGAAGAATCAAACGACATCGATTGTCTTTCTAAGGATAAACTTCAAAGCTCCTTGATTGTTCATGAACAAAAGTTTAGAAGAACTAGCAGTGAAGATCACGTATTGAAAGTTGCAACTGAAGAAAGAAGAGACAGAGGTGAAAGAGGACGAGGTCGAGGTGCTTATAGGGGCAGAGGAAGAGGAAGAGGTAGGCAGATGTACAATAAGGCTATTGTAGAGTGTTATAAGTGTCACAAACTTGGACACTTTCAATTTGAGTGTCCAAGCTGGGATAAAGAAGCCAATTATGCCGAGATGGGAGAAGAAGAAGAAGAGATTCTGCTCACGGCTTATGAAGAAGAGAATGGAGCTCGAAGAGAAGATATTTGGTTCTTAGACTCGGGATGCAGCAATCATATGAGCGGTGACAAGAGTATGTTCTGTGATCTCGATGAAAGTTTCAAACACAGAGTGAAGCTGAGCAATAACTCAAGAATGGAAGTGACAGCTAGAGGTAATGTGAGATTGAAAATAGGAAGCTTTACTCATGTTATCAGTGAAGTTTATTATGTGCCTGAATTGAGAAATAATCTGCTAAGTATCGGACAACTACAAGAAAGGGGACTGACTATTCTCATTCAAAATGGAAGGCTCAAGATATATCATCCAGAGAGAGGACTGATTGTAACATCTGACATAACAACAAACCGGATGTTTGTGATGATTGCAAGCTCTTTGCCTCAAAAGACCATTGATTCAAAACCATCCTGCCTCTACACCTCTTCACATGATGAAGCACACCTGTGACATTGTCGCTACGGACACTTGAATTACAAAGGTCTAAGGATGTTGCAATACATGAAGATGGTAGAAGGTATGCCTCAATTCAAGTCTCCATCAAGAGTGTGTCAAAGTTGTCTATTTGGGAAGCAACACAGAGATCCAGTTCTAAGGAAGAGTAATTGGAGGGCTACAAAAAGGCTTCAACTCATTCATGCTGATATATGTGGTCCAATATCTCCTATTTCTAATAGCAAAAAGAGGTATGCCATTTGTTTCATTGATGATTTTACTAGAAAAGCATGGACTTATTTTTTAGTAGAAAAGTCGGAAGCATTGAGCACGTTTAAGCGCTTTAAGAATTATGTTGAAAAAGAAACAGGAGAGTATATTAAATGCTTGAGAACAGATCGAGGGGGAGACTTCACACCCTTTGAGTTCAATGAGTTTTGCATGGAGCACGGCATCAAAAGACAACTGACTGCAGCCTATACTCCTCAACAGAACGGAGTGGCTGAGCGAAAAAATCGAACAGTGATGAACATGGTTCGATGCATTTTATCTGAAAGGAAACTTCCCAAGACCTTTTGGCCAGAAGCAGTAAATTAGATATTCTATGTTCTTAATCAATGTCTAACTTTTGCTATGAAGGATTAGACTCCCGATGAAGCTTGGAGCGGAAGAAAGCCATCAGTGGAACACTTTAGAGTGTTTAGGTGTGTGGCTCATGTATATGTTCC